CCATTAGCAGTTACAGCACCATCCCCAACAGAGGGCGCTGTGACAAAGGCCACGTAGAGGGTAACAGGCCCGTGGGGAGCCCGCGATAAGCTCTGACCGCGGAATCGATGCATTAAGGAAATTGTCGATCTCGTGTAGGCCAAGTTATAAGAACTATACAAAGTATTTTTCTGGTAATAAACAATGGAAATATATTTATTTATTTAAAAGTCTTTATTACATATAAAGTGTTCGGCTGGCGGACTTGATGCCTTTAAGTAGTCTCTACCAGTCAACTTCGAGCTAAGCAGAGAAAGTTAAGCAGGTGCGGTAAAAACATGTAAATATGTTTACATACATCTGTCCATCTATATATTTGGTACGTGGTAAAGCCACGCTGCAGCTATATTTTGCTTGTAGCACGAACGGGTCGGTTCGATCGTGGAAGGACCATACTTTCACAGAAAACCTGCGTAAAATAGCAGCTTAATAGTACCGTGTTTCGTATGGTGAATGTAGAGATCCGGAGACCCTTTTTTACTGTAGACGAGGTATTCCATCGTAATCCTCAAGGGTGACAACGTATCTGTGTTTTGATTATCGATCGACGATAAATGTAGATGTCTACGGGCCACAGTATCCACTTACCATCAGGTGGACTGTGTGTTACGCTCACTAAGAGCGGATTTCACTATAGTCTCATCAAAAAAAAATTAATATTTTACATCTATGTTCCACAATTAAATAGACGTGTGCCCAGCAAAGCGAGCACGTATCAACTAGTATAAATATTTTATATTTATACTAGTTGATACGTGTAATGATAAGTATGTTATGTACGTATACGTACATAACATACTTATCATTACACTATGTATTACTACAAATAACCTATATAATATACTTTACTGCACACATTTTAAGTGTACTTATATACGAACATAATACATTTTATAATCGCGAAGGCAAGTATAACGATACATGAGAATTATAAGGAATTTAACCACTGGAAGAAGAAAAGAATGATCAGGATTCTAAGAAAAAAGACTACTATGTAATATTTATATCAATCGGTTATAATCCAAGAGTTTATCACTTGAACTCAACAATCTGACAAAACATCTTCTCCCCAGCGCAGCGGCTTTGCGAAATATAAAGAGTTTACGTTCGAATTCGAGTAAGTAACGATTTCTGTGGTATTTGATTGTGGATTAGTATTAGTGTAACACGTTGCTTTAAAGGGTGCAATATGTCACGCTAATGTAATTACATTTTATTGTAAAATCATAGCGCTTGCCTCTATAGTAAATTCTCATGCATAGAAATGTATTTATTAGGTAGTTAAGAATATCGTAAATAAATAATTCCGTTGCTGTTACCACGTGAACATGGGCTTGCCCCACTGATTGCTTCATAGGGGCTATTTTGCCAACCGCAGTTTTATTTTTATTTTAGCTGTTATTAAAAAGATGCTGCTGCTCATCTTCTGTTTTTTTTTCCTCAAAGACGTACCCTCTTACGACACGATGGGGGGGGATATTCTTACACCGCCACTACAAGGTACATAAGTTATTCCATCATAATATAATTTGAATTTCGCAGTGCCTCAAAAATGATTGGTTTCGGGTCATCCTCATCATCGTCATCATCATCTTTGCATCGTATGAGTCTACTGCTGAACATATGACTTCCCCAGATTGAACTAAAGTAAAAGAAGGACAAAAAAAATTTAAATTTAATTTGTGAAAGACGACAGTTTGATAATCTACAACCATTTCAAAATGAGTTTCCTCTGACCGGAGAAGAAACAGCGAAAGAAACTCGGCGACATTCAAACACTTCTCCAATACGAGATTCAAACCCGTGACCCGTACCACTGCTGTTTAACACTTAGCATATACACTACCGATCCGTCGATTTATATTACATTTATATTCGTCGATTTATATTGATTTATCAAATTTTACGCAATTTTAGTGGAAACGAGGCATTCCATCTTAGTCCTCAGTAGGAACAATGAATCTGCATTTTGATTCTTAGTCGACGATAGATGTAGTTGTCTATAGAATCATAGCATGTAATTACCATCAGGTGGACTGTGTGCTCAGTTATCACCCTAATTCTATAAAAATATATTAATAGCTGTAATATAATAGAAGCAATACTCTATAGAATAAGTGGATTAAGTGAGAGCAATGGTAGTTCAAAGGCCAAGCACATGTTGTAAATATCACACACAGTATACGAGTAACCCGGGTTCGATTCCCACCGGCACTAATGAAATTGTTAATGGTGAATTTAAGTGTTGATTTACCACGTGTTCGACGGTGAAGGGAAAACATCGTGAGGAAACCTGCGTGTCTAAGAAAAAAACGATTGAGGATATATGAGGACCGGCAACAAACACTGCAGCTCATAATTTCTCCATAACTCTTGAAAATTTTATGATGATTGATTTTTTTTTGATTTTATCGCATACTTCGAAGCGATATAACTGCGAACCAAAATGACCAGTGTGATTAATTATTAGCGTGTTTTAAGTTGTAACTGGTGTTCGGTAATTAAAGTGTCAATTTTGGTAATTCAATCGGCAGTTTTTATTGTCACGAACCCTAAGCTCGTAACAATTGGTGTTAGAAGGGGGATTAAATCATGCCGATTTTACCTAAGGACGATACGGAGGCTATCCGGACCCGAAGTCAAAGCCAGCAGGAGATGGACCAGAGACGATTTGGTGGTGCAACGCCACAGGACCACGGAGGCCGGCCTGTCAGCCGCTCCTGCATCTGCAGCACCTGACTTAGGTGCTCTAATGATGATGCTGCAGGAGCAGGCTCGGCGACAACAGGAATAGGCCCATCGGTTGGAAGACGGCTGCAGCGCGGTCAGGAAGAGCTGATGCTCCTCATGAAGGACCTTCACGCTACCTTCGGGAAAGAAATAAGGGAGGTGAAGTATAGGGTTGATCAACATGAATCGCCTGTCGGAACCTGAAACCCGAATCGACCAAGTGAGTAATCGGGTTGACAACGTGATGGCTGACGTGAAGAAAACGCTGGACGACTTACAGCTCCCGTGGTAGCTACAACACCTTCGCTACGTGAATTCAAAGTGTCGCCGTTCGACGGGACTTCTTCGTGGTCGGCCTACAAAATCCAGTTCGAAGCTGTATGGAGGCGAACGGCTAAAATAAAAGTCAGGCAATGACTGCACTCACCCTACGCCTGCGGGACCAAGTCTTGACTGTTCTCGAAGCTCTAGGTAAGAAAGTGACTTACGAGCAGCTCCTTGAGACATTGGAGGCGAGATATGGCGATGCTCACGTGGAGCACGTCTTTCAGGCCATTAAGGTGGAGACGCTGGTTCAAAAAGTATACCAGTCTGTACATGTACTCATTGCAGGAAACCTGGTGCAGACATTTATCTTCGACATCCGCGACGTTGAAGTCAGAGCACTACGAGAGTACGGGCACTACAAGACGCTTAAGGACGCCTTGGCCCATGCACTGGAGGTGGGAGCCGTGCGGAAGGATTATCATTCCCATCGCGTCAGAGAGGTTGCAGCAGCTACAGTTCGCGACCGCAAGAAAGGATACAGCCCTAGGTGCTACGGCTGAGGGGAAAGGGGCCTTCTTCGATTCAGCTGCCCTAAGTAAACTGTAGAAAGGGAAGGTGATCGATCTTGTGAGGACAGTGCGGCTAACAGCACCGCCCAGCAGCAGCAGGGAAACGAGTAAAAGCCAGGACTGAGGGGCGGGTGCTGGCTGATGTAAAAAGAGCCCCAAGGATTTCGATCTCACAAACCCATGATGGGAATAGCCTAATCATCAAGGACGAGGTCAATGGAATGCCGTGTAAACTGACCGTAGACACTGGAGCCTCTCGCACGGTTGTCATTTCCCAACTTATAAGTAATAAATAATTCTTTGGAGACTCTACATACAACCGAGAAGTGGATTGGTTGCGTCGGTGTCAATATCTATTGACTGGAGCGCCGAGTAAAGGATACACAAACGAGAGTGACCACACTTTTGGAAGACTGTCTCAAAGTATGTCGCAAAGTATGACCGCAAAATAAACGACAAACAACGAAGTTCAACGAAGGGTCACTAGTGTGGTTGCACAATCCAGTTCGCAGCAAAGGGAAATCCCCTAAGCTTCAAGCTAAATGGGAAGGACCGTACCGGATTGTGACAAGGATCAATGACGTAACCCACCGGATACAGAAAGGTGCAAGAGGTACTCCTAAGGTTGTCCATGTGGATCGAATGGCGCGTTATTATTGGGCCGATAATGCTCGAGACGAGCATGTCTTAGAAGGGGGCAGTGTTGCGCGCCATAATTAATGAAGAAATTAGTTACCACTAGCGCCCTCTAGTATATAATAGCAGAACTAATCCTTCTAGAGAACTCCATACTAAAACTTTCTACATCTAGTCAGTCGGGACCGGTATGTGCTCGAACATTCTAGATGTTTCAGCAGAAAAGGCCTATATAAGGCCAGTTAGGACCGCGACCGCGTCAGTATTGAACTGGCAAGCAAATACTTCGAAGCGATATGACTGCGAACTAAAGTGATCAGTGTGATTAATTATTAGTGTGTTTTAAGTTGTAATTGGTGTTCGGTAATTAAAGTGTCAATTTTGGTAATTCAATCGGCAGTTTTTACTGTCACGAACCCCAAGCTCGTTACAGTACTGTAAATTTTCTTTAATTTTTTGCATGTAAAATTTATGCTTGTAAATAAATAAGTAAACGTGAAAAAATCCGAAAATTAGTTTTATTCAATGTCAAATATTCATTGTAAATATGCCCAGCAATGGAACGTAAAAAGTCCGTAATTCTTAACTTATATTACATAAAAATTAGAAAAAGAGTAACAAGTAATCGTATTCACGGATCGATTACGTCCCGTCAAATATAAATAACTTTGTATACACCTATTGATTACGTTTTTTGTAAGAACAATGTGACCGGTGTTTAGTTCATTTGATAGCATTGGTCAAGGAACTGCAGTCGACATGAGAACTGGCTTTTTTGTTTGTTTTGCAGTGTTTTCTAGTGTGGTTGGTAAGTCTTCAAATTTTAATATTTGTTAACGCGAATGCTACACATGAAATGATAGTACTTAATGTTATGGATTTTATCGCGTTTAATTTAAACGTTTTTGATTTCCGTTCCCGACATTTCGACTGGGGGAGGGGGGAGGGGGGGGGGAGGTTTTGACGTCCTGATGTCATAGTTAATGAAGACTATTCAACTTTTAATTACGAGCATTAATCTTTAGTCCGATACACGCGGAATGAGTTCACAGTACCTATTATGAAGTCATCTTAGAATTACTATTCTACGGATTTTATCGCGTTTCATTTATCTTTTTAATTCTACAGTAGTAGACAATTATTAATAATTAGTAGTAGAATTAATTCTACAGTAGTGGTAGTTTTAATTCTACTACTGTCGAATTAACAAGTAATATTGAAACGCGATAAAATCCGTAAAATTATTTAATAATTCCGACGTTCGAAATTTTGTTTTATATGTATTTCTATAATTTACCAGCCTTTCCTGTTGTAGAGAGAATTTGCCTTAAGGGGAAATATAACCTCAAATGGCTTAGCAAGATCCACCGTTATGCCGAAAATATTGCAGTATTAATTTTGAAATAAATATATAGTAAAGTTGAGGATTAATGTTAAGGACTATGTTAGAAGAAAACACGATTCCGTAAAAATTTTCCCGATAGAAAAAAAATCCAAAGTTACCTCCAAAATAATCAATAAACCGCTGTTCATAAAATACTTTAAATGATCTTATCATGAAACTTTGCATACTAACTGAACTAACTATAAAGCAGTGCTTATGTTATTTACTTTTTTTAAAATACCATTATTATTTTCACTGTAAAAAGAAATTACCTAAACTATTGGCGTTTTGAAGCTTGATTCCTGCCGCCCAGTCAGTTTCGCTTCGGCCTTTGAAGGGGGAGGTTGTGTCGCTTACGATCGGAATACACATTGCGCAACAGGACGACGTAAAATTAAAATGTGAAATAACCGTAATAAAAATAAGAAGCGCCTGGGTTGGCGTTAAGAAACAGGCATAAATATGATAAACCTAATGAAATAAGTATCTAACGACCTATCTACTTACAGTATTAGTGATTACAAACATGTCGGTACATAGAATACGACGCGCGGGGAAGTGGGGGCGAAATTAGAATTTGAGCTGACTTACTATATCCCCTTAACTGTGACGCTGTACTGGCAGATTAATGTCGCAGTTTCGCCCCTTTAACGCTGTTTCCCGTCGCCGTTTTGGGTATTTTACGCCTGGCGTAAACCGATCTTTTTTGGCATGTCCCATAGTCGAATCTTACGACACTAGTGTCTCAGCATGTACAGGCATTATAATATTTCTATGTCGACTACACGACTAATGACGACTTTGTGAGTTTGCGACTTTGTGATCTTTGTGTGTGTGTGAAGGCTAATATTCTTCCGCTTACCAGATGCGGTGAACATATTTGTCAGAGTATCGTCATCATTAAAAAGTTGCGTTTAAATTAAAAGTTTTTTTTTTCTGGTGTATGTACACAAAGTAATGTATCAGTACTGTATTCTTGAATGTTTTTACACATTTTTACCTTTTATTTTTACTTTTGGGAATGACCGTATTTTGGTTTATTCATTTCTAATGTAATTAAAATAAAATAATAGTAATATTTCTGAAAGAACACCAGATTGACTTCTTCTGCTATGAAAACTGTCAAATATTTTAACTCATAGCAAAGTGACGCTGCCCTGGTAGCAAAAAAAGTCGTCACTTCATTGGCTACAACTTCGCGGATGTTTTGATTTCAAGCAAGAACAGGATTAGACATTTGTGCAAAGATAGATGCGTTGTGACTGTGTCGATGTCTCTCACTCTCACACTGTATCTGAAACTGCCTCTTTGTCTGCCCAATGTTATCATACAGGCATTACTCGACTCGGTGGCGTAGTGACGAAGCTGTTTGGCTGTAAAACTGCGGGGCCGCGGGTTCGTATCTGCCATGAAATAAAGTGATTGTATGACCTATATACATTTTTACGGGTCTGGAAGTCTGTCTAATTAATGTATGATCCCATAAATGAGGAAATCCTGTGGTTAGTGTGAAAGTTAGAATCGACGTATGCCTCGATATATTTGAGATACTTTGAGACGATTATATATTTTTTATTGAATAAGGTATCGTTTTAAAACTTGGTGTATTACCAAATAATAGTTTAGACAATTATTTAATACTTTGAGACGATTATATTACTTTTTTGAATAAGGTATCATTTTAAAACTTGGTATATTATCAAATACTATTATTCAAATATAAATATAAAATAAAAAATATCCATATCACTTTTAACCCCCTCACAAAAATAATATGTGACCTGTGCGCAGCTGTGGGTATTATTTTACTGTTTTTTCTTTTATATTACGTCAATTTAACAGTCTTAAATATAACTAAGAAAATGGTGAACGATATTTTGCGTGATATAACTTTAGCCATTTATAGCAGCAGCGTGGTGAAAACTATATATGGCTACAATGGCTATGCTCTCAGAGAACACTAACATAAAACAGTAGAATAGTTGTAAATGTCTATGGGCCACAGTACCCACTTCCCATCCAGTGGAGTGTGTGCCCTTATTCTATTATAATATTAATTCAATAAGTTCAAACAATCTGTTTCATTGTATGGAACAATTTGGCGCGATTTCATAATGCTGGTTACAGTTTACAGTTAACGATACAATTCTTCGCCGCTGCAGTGGTGGACGTTGTTGTTTTTTCGTCTCTATTCGTGCATTTCTTTGAAACTGATTGTTTCGCAAACTTATGTGCAATTGCATCATACTTATGAGTCTCCCGGCCTCGCACTTGTGCTATTCTGTAGTGAAGTCTTATCATTTTCGACTCGTTCACAAAACGTCTAAATTTCTTTCCTATCCCTAAAAAAAATTTTTAGCATAGATACATATTTGAATCCATAAATTCTCACAACTGTCATCTACGAGGGTAAGCAGGGACTACGCATTTCCATTTGGCACGATCCTCACACTACTTTCTCGCTCATTTCACATTATATATTATTAATTTATACCTAGCCCAAAGAATCGACGACCGGCGCTCGAGTGACAGCCCCCCACTAGATGGGGTGACGACCTGTAAAAATATGCAAGAAGTCTTGGATGCAGGTGGCGCAAATGCGGGGAGGCCGATGGATATGGTGGTCTAATGTTGTAAATATTATAACTTATCTTTCAGCTTCAACTACAAAGAACAAAAGAGGCCTCTTCCAAGAACCACTGTGCAAGGAAAACGAGGAATTTAAGGTCTGTGAGACTTGCTACAGGAGCTGCGATAATCCCAAACCGTCCTGCTCCGACCAGTGTGAGAAGGGGTGCTTCTGTAAAGAAGGCTTTATGAGGAATAGAGAAGAGAGATGTGTGACTATGAAGGAATGTCCAAGCGGAAACGGAAGTAAATATGACTTATAATAGAAGTAAATGGATTTTCAAATTATTACTTGTTGATTTACAACTTCCAAACAGTTTTATATACTATAACATTTTTTTTTAATTCGTACCTCCATATATAACAAAAGATTTACAGAATTTGTCAGCATATGTGTTTCCATTCGATTATAATGTAGGTATCTTCAAGTCAAGAATAAATAGGCTTTTGTTAAGTATCATTTTATTATCTTCGGCTACATCACCGCTTACCATCAAGTGGAATTATAGTCAAGCACTGTTAAAAAGAACAACCACTAGAACACCTTTTATTTGTGCACCACAGGATTTGCGCACGTGCTGCACAAACAATAGGTTTGTTTTGGGGGAATCAATACAAAAGGGGTGAAGTATTATAATTTTTCCGCGACTGTCAACTTTAACTACACGATGACTTTCTGCGACTATCGATGAATCTTCAGCGATTGGCTCACGACGGAAAATCGATTTAAATATGTTTCACATTTATAAAAGTGTAGTGATAAACTAAACTTAGTCCTCCTGATGATAAGTAGCTTCTGCAGTCCCTAGCCAACTTCCAATAAAAAGGCCGCAGATGCTTAGTTTCAGGATTAAGAGGAAATGCCTCACGACCTTTAATGTTGGCTCTTTATACCTCTTCCTCTTTCTTGCACAGCAGTACGTTGGGCTAGCAAACACCTCACCTATTTCTGGCATTACGCAGTAGCACGTGCACTTATAAAGAGAACCTACTAGTTCTCTACAGACTGTAAGGCATTTCATCTTAATCCTCAAACTGACAACGCATATAAATGTTTCTCTGCTTGAAGTTGATTGCAAGTGTCCTTGGATTGTAGTACCTAAGCACTTACTGTCAGGTAAACTATAACTTCTTTTATTGAACTTTATATAAAAAATACTTCAAATTTTATTCAAATGAAAGTTTATTTAAAGGAAGATCATATTATTCACTGATATACAAGTATGCAAAGATATAGCCGCAACATATGTTTCCTTAATACTGAGGCTTCTTTTCATTTCTTAGATATTTTAGCCATAATTAGATTACTATAGTTATGAAATTCCTGTTGCGATCGAAAGGGCTATGCTGGAAATTTATATTATCCACGGGATAAAATCTGTAAAGACGATATTCGTTGAAGAACAAGAATCATTGTCATAGCCAAGCGACGTAAGCTGAAGTAGGAATGGGTCGGCCATTAAGCTTAAAAACCGATTTCCGATGGGGAAGAAAGGTTCGCGAGTGGCGGCCTCGTACTGACAAGCAGTTTTGAGGGACCACCCACTAGTCGGAGTTTCGATCTAAAAAAACACGCAGGTATTTAACGAATGCCAGTGGCTCAATACTTTGTGGCAATATGTGGGCGAGACCTATGTTCATAAGTGATCTTGTGAGCGGCTGTAGGGAATGAGGCTGAGCGAGTTATCAAACATACTACTGAAATAAAATTTGCTTACCTCATACAGAGTCATTGTATCTCAGAGGCTAAGCTCTTATCACAAACTTATCAGTACGCGGGCAATCCGGATTCGATCCCCGGTGGCACCATTGATATTGACAATTACAATGTTAAGTGCCGATTTACTACGTGCTCGACGGTGAAGGAAAACGTGAGGAAACCTACATGACCAACAAATAAAAAAGATATTTCGAAGACACGTATTTGGGCAGCGCAGCGAACATTTCCGTATTCTAAAATCCTCTCAGAAGTGCCCGGAAGTAGGACGTACACAGGTTGGTATTTTACTATATATTTACGTATATAACCTACCATCGTTTCCAGCAGAAGCAAGAAACATCTCTTGCGGTCTCCACAAAGCGTTCCGGGACTGCGGAGGATGTGAGAAAACTTGTAGCGATCCTGACCTTTCATGTGCGGTTCCGTGTCGAATGGGCTGCTTCTGCGAGGAAGGCTACGTAAAACACCCAAATGGAAACTGCGTTAAGATTGAAGAATGTCCAGAAGGTGATGCTTCCAAATGGCATGACATGGATCTCTGTATTTTTTATAAAAGTAAATATAGAATAAGTGTGACAATCGAGCACACAGCCCATCTAATGGTAAGTGTACTCATAGACTAAACCTCGACTAAAAATCAAAATGTAGATGTCGATGCATTTTTACTCCTGAGGACTAATATGGAAAGCCCCGTATCCAGAAAAAAGGGTTTTAATTTTAGGTAGGATTTGCCAGACTAAATATTTTACGCTCGACGTTAAGAGAGAGAAGAGTTATTGTCGCGATCCACCGAAAGCCTTCATTAATCTCCTCTTATAACACCTATCGACCATCATTTAATATAAAAAAATAGTAGTAATGCATAATATGTAATTTTGTTCATAAAATGTTTATTTCTCACTTTACAATAACATTACAAAGTTATAAATCATTTTCTATGGAGTTCTAACGAAATTTTTACTGATCCAAGTGCATTTTGTGAGTTAGTCGATTATTATATTCTACTTAGCTGTGACAGTTTTCCTTTTAACTTCATTATATACACTACTATTTTGTGAACCTTTCACATTTCCAAAAACAGCGGTATAATTCGTAGAGTGGGGGTGGGGACCCATGACATGAAAAATACCACTTTAAAGCTATATATTTTTCAAACGGACCCCTCAATCGAAGAGATGTTGTTCCATACCCTCAGTGTTTTTGAATTACCTATCCAACAATAGACCACGTGACGGAATAGGTGGGTAAAAAAATCATACTCCATTTACTTGTATGAAAACCGCGGACGGACGGGCGGACGGACATCGCGAAACTATAAAGGGTTCCTTGTTTTGGAACCCTAAGAATGTGGAATAATTAATTAAAGTTTTTTATTCAGTGACATCGCAAGAATGCCACCGTAAATAAGCCGCGCAATTGTATTTTCATTAACAAAATTTACTGTTTTAGATAAAAACGAAATCAAGTTAAATACTTATCCAAAATAAACTTAAAACCGCCGAGCACGAAGTAAATCAGCACTTAAAATTGCAACTAACAATTTCATTTGTGCCGGTGGAGATCGAACCCGGGTTGCTCGTGTACTATGAAATTTACACCGAGCACTTAGCTCATGAGCTACAACGACTCTTCCGTCTGGTAGTAGGTATGCATAGAAGTCTTTGAGTGTAACAAACAGTTTGCACAGAGGTGACGCAAGTCGGCGTGCTCGAGGAGTCTGTGGAGCAGTGCGGGTCGGAGGAGGAGTTCGTGTGGTGCGGGTGGTGCGAGCCCAGCTGCCGGCAGCCGGCACCGCGCTGCCCGCTGGTCTGCACGCGCGGCTGCCAGTGCCGCCCGCCGCTGCTGCGAGACCGCAACGGACGCTGCGTTCGACACACGGACTGCATAGCGCGTGAGCAATCACAATTTTTGACTTAAAACGTCAAAACCAGGTCAAAAAAGTGAACCGTAACGAGAAGGTCTAAGATACCTGCGGGTGATAAGGCCTGTCGGCTAATAAGGCCTAAATCACAAAAATCGTCAGTGTCTAACTTGGACTAGGCGGTGCAGTGCTCCGGGGCCACATAACATTTCCCATAACATTTAAAAGGGCATTAGTAACCCCTAATCATAAAAGTGGAAGTAAAGATGATGTGGACAACTACAGACCAATTTCTGTGCTAACAATTCTATCAAAAATACTAGAGAAACTAATAAACAATAGATTGAAAAAATATTTCATAGATAACGACCTGCTCTCTAAAAACCAATTTGGTTTTAGAAATGGAATTTCTACTCAGGACGCTGTGTTAGCTTTAATTGAAGAAATAAGTAAGCAACTGGACTCTGGTAACAAATGTCTCGGAGTATTTTTGGACGCAGCCTACTCTACTTTTCCTACCTATTCTATTTTTAATCTATGTCAACGATCTATGCAATTTAAGCCTACAAACTTGTCAAATATACACCTACGCAGATAACACTGCTCTAATTTTTAACGCAAAATCATGGGAAAATCTAAGGATTATTGCTGACTCCGGAATACACCATATATCTAACTGGCTAAGATCGAACCTTCTGACCCTTAACATTAACAAAACTAAATTCATACCTTTTACTATACGGTAAAATACACAACCTAATTCTAAATTTAACCTAACAGTTCATACCTGCCATAAGCCATATTTAGATAGCTATAATAGTTGCTCATGTGATAAAATTACTAGGACTAGTACCATCAAATACCTCGGTGTAACTATTGATCAGCACCTTACCTGAAGTCAACACATTGAAAACATTGTTGACAGGATAAAGAAACTAACATGGATATTCAAAAAACTCAGGTGTGTTGCAAATGAAACAACTCTTATCACCACCTACAAAGCTCTAGCGCAATCGATAATGAGTTATTGCATACCTGTTTGGGGTGGTGCAGCAATAACTCATCTAATAGGACTAGAAAGAGCTCAAAGATCTCTAATTAAGGTGATGTTCTTGAAACGATTTTCAACGATTTTCAACTTTTGAATGTCCATTGTACTATCGCAGATGTATATATTGAATTGCATTTTAAAAAATCATCGACATTTACCTTTTATACCTCATCAGACACCAAAACGGATGAGTACCAAAATTTGCAATATACCACAAAATAAAACAAAGTTTAAGCAAAAGTAATACGTATTCCAATCTATATCTATTTACAACAGCAGATTGAATATTTACCCCTTGACGTGGACTAAAGTTAAACGTGTAGTGACACAATTTTTATTAACACTAAACTACGAGGAAACTGAACAATTTATTACATAAATTCTATACTTCGAACAGCCACACCAATTGTTAAAGAACTAACACACACACACACACACACGCACGCACGCAAGCACGCACGCACGCACGCACGCACGCACGCACGCACGCACGCACGCACGCACGCACGCACGCACGCACGCACGCACACGCACGCACGCACGCACGCACGCACGCACGCACGCACGCACGCACGCACGCACGCACGCACGCACGCACGCACGCACGCACGCACGCACGCACGCACGCACGCACGCACGCACGCACGCACGCACGCACGCACGCACGCACGCACGCACGCACGCACGCACGCACGCACGCACGCACGACGCACGCACGCACGCACGACGCACGCACGCACGCACGCACGCACGCACGCACGCACGCACGCACGCACGCACGCACGCACGCACACACACACACACACACACACACACACACACACACACACACACACACACACACACACACACACACACACACACACACACACACACAGACACACAGACACACACACACACACACACACACATACACACACACACACACACACACACACACAGACACAGACACACACACACACACACACACACACACACACACACACACACACGCACACACACACACGCACGCACACACACACGCACGCATACGCGCATACGCGCACACGCGCACAGCGCACTCGCGCACGCACGCGCGCACGCACGCACAGCACGCACGCATGTACATATATATGTATGTATATATATATATATATATATATATATATATATATATATATATATATATGTATATATATTATACTCTTAGATAGGGAAGTACGAATAAATATTATCTGCTGCGTTACACATACTACTTAGTAGTAAATAGCTTTGCTTTATTATGCTCTACAGTGGGCGATAAAGAGCTAATGATGAAGTAGTTTTGCACCTTATGTATTTAGTTTAGTTCAAATAGGGCTCTCATTTAATTTTTGCCCCGGGGCCCTTGGTTACAAAGCTACGTTACTGAAAATCGTATTTATAATAACCGCTCCTGCTCAAGGAGATAGTATCAGACTCCTTTGCACGATATTGTCTCCAAAAGTTTGCAGAGACGCGCTACCCCACATCCTGCCACCAGAGATTATCATGACCATTATCTATCATGAGATACGACCGCACTGCACCAATAATAAAAATCAGTCCAAATAAACCGTAGGTATGTTTTGTAACATTACACTGAGTTATCTAAAATCATAATCTTTATCTTTAATAATAAATGCTTTGTTGATCTTGAAGATTTGTATAACGTACCGTGGTTTAATATTTTTTAATTTGGTTTTACTTCAATACTTGGTCGGCGGTTATTAAGGCCTATGAGCCTTATTAAACTCCTTTCCTTGTTTTATAATGTATTTTGTATCACTTCTAAAATGTTACAAATGTGAATGAATCGTAGATACGCTTTTATTATTAAACTAATTTCGTAGCTAGAAAACGATTTGGTTTCAGCTGTCCAAACAGTGCAAAGACAAAGTGTGTCGAAGAAGGCTTTGACATTAGAAGCCATTAAATTATATGTAAATTATTGAGCCTGCGCCTAACCTCTCTCGGATCGTGTCGGATTGCGATTTGATTATTGTGTATAAGTGCGCCTGTGTTTGCGCATACATTCGGACACTATAATTCTATACTGTGCATATAGGATAGCCTCCGTTGACACTGGCCGCTGCGACAGAAATTTGATTGGGAGGACACTCAACCTAACAATCAACCCAATACTAACTCAACCTAACACTCAGCTCAACTCGAGACACAACCGACGTACTGATGATATTCACGAAGAGTGCATTTGTTTGTCAGTTTATTCATCATTATACTAATGACTTAAGTGCTGTTAGGTGAAACAATTTATATTTTATAAGAATTTTAAGTCTTAATTGCTTCATTCATGTGATTATTGATCACAAATATTAAATATAATACGTATAGTTTGATTGTTTGAGTACGTTAAAGCAGTAAGCCATATTATCCTACAATAGTGCAATTAGGCCTACTAGCAAGGTTTTTAGAAATATAAAATTCTGTTTTTCTTTATGGCAAATGTTAAAATTTTTCGTTCATACTTTATAGAAATTATACTACACCAATGAATTTAATAAAATGTGTAACTAAATTGGATATTTCGCATTTTATTTAGAATTTCCCTTAACTAGGCCTTATTACCCTCAGGTACCATATTATATCGTCTCGCCTTAATTACATTATACTTAATACCTACCTACATACTCCTACTACCTACATACTCAAACGCTACTCAATTTTAAGACGATATGCTGTCTCTATCACAATGTGAATCATGAAAAAAAAACAATGAATAAATTAAATATTTTTTTATATGATAGGGTGACAAACGAGCACACAGTCCACCTGATGGTAAGTGGTTGCTGTGGCCCGTAGACATCTACATCTATCCTCGATTACGAATCAAAATGCAGATGCCGTGTCATCCGTGAGGATGGGTGGAATGCCTCGTTTCCAGTAAAAATGGTCTCCGGTTCTCCACACTCACCATACGAAACACAGCAGCATTAAGTTACTATTTTACGCTGGTATTATGTGAGAGCGTGGTCCTTCCCCGGTCGAGCCGACCCATTCGTGCTACAACTATACTACTAATATAACTGCAGCATGGCTCTACCACGTAAAAAATAATATATCTAAATATTTATTGATTTGTTTCTCTCTGTCGCCTCTTACGACACCCTCGCGACGATGTGGGGTAGTGCTTTGATTATATAGACAGGTATATAATCTATATATATATATATATATATATATATATATATATATATATATATATATATATATACAGAATGGGTCACAAATATATGCAATAAATGAAACCATATACTTGTTATCGCCTTTGCTGACGATATACAAAAAATGAACGTAATCAGTCCAGTAATTAGGTCAAAAAGTAGAGTTTTAATTTTAAGCAAATTTGAACACTATAGAATTGGGTCACTAAGTCAATGATTCAATGAACTTCAATCCTTGAACATTAAAAAGCGACGTTGCCACGCAGTGCAAACTATTGGTATTGCGACATATCGACAGCGGTGTCTTTTGTCGGCGTGCCACCCGCGTGCAACGTTGTCACTCTTCCAAGGGGTCAAGGTACGTTGTCTAAACAGAGTGTTCACTTTTACTGAATTTATTTTAATATTTATTTTGTTTGATAATTTCACTTTTTTATTTTACGGGTTTTAATTTAATATTTAATTTTTCTACACTTATACGGACTAGTATTACTTGTGGTTTCATTTATTGCATATATGTGGGACCCATTCTGTATATAAAGGTTTAGTGGATATTCTTACACCGTCACTTCACGGTACCATTTAAACTAATGACGGTGTTATAGAAACTAACGTGCATACAATTATATTTTTCTTTAATTATAAATACAATACAGGCTCTGAGATCTTTCATAACGGACTTTAAGAGCGACAAAGCTTCTTAGACCTTATATAACAAATAAAACTAGTCTACAGTAGCAATTTACCATCAAACGAACTGTAACTATCTATGGGTTGTGTTGTAGAGGCACCTACAGGAAATACCAGAAAGACTGCTACACTT